CACACGAGACTCAACTGAGCTCAAAAACCAACTAACAAAAACTAACTCACAACTAACACACTTATATAGATCTTATAAATGTCCAGAAGGTTCTATAACATACAAGAATACTTTACATGATTGTTCTAGAATATACTTGAATAAACACATAATATATAATTACAATAGTACACAGAGAGTTCCGGATCCATTTAGAAACAACTTCTTACAACAATGCATGCTACTAAAATCTAAAACTGGTATACTGACCTGAAATTTAATATACATGTACATGTACTTATCTTAGCTTATACAAGACAGCATGTACAGTACTGTAATTCCTTTCACTCTAAATTTTTAGTTTTTCTAAATTTTCACTCTAAATTTTAAGTTACAGCCATTTTCAAAAACAAGCCAATTTTCAGAAAAACTAAAGACTATACACCCTAATTACCCCACCCATCTCATAATTGGACCCCCAAAAATAAATTCCTAGATCCACCCCTGACAAGAAATATGTATACACTGTACATGTACATATACACATGTAGTTAGAGTGTAGACTGACCTATGAATAATAAACCCACCATATAATCATTAATGTACATGTACATGTTCATAGTAAAGTGCTGTACATGTACATGTATATGCACAAAATCATCAAAAACTTTACAAAGAAATAAAGCTGCCATACATTAAAGTGCTGTACAAAATATAACTATTTAAAGAGGAGGACATTACAATTAATACAGTATAGACCTACCATCTTCATCATAATTACTGATGGTGTCATCAATCCTGTTTGAAAACTCCAGCAGAAAATTCCAAGTGTCTTTAGGTATTACCAGCTCTTTTATAATGAGACTGAGAGAGGGAGAGAGAGAGAGAGATGAAATGTAACTTTTACATGTAATTAAAAGTATTGTTTACTCTTAAAAATTCACACCACAAGTCCAAAAATTTGAAGTGACCAGTAAAAATAAGATTCCAGTTGGCAATGGCCATTTCAAGATCTGTAGAGAAATAAAAAGCACAAAAGATTTTAATCAATTCATACAATATACATTAAATTATACATGTACATGTACTCTCAAATTTTAGTAGCATCACTTGCAAAATTCCCCCATCAACACGTGTACATTGAAATCATTGTGTGGCAAGTTTAGCAAACATGATCCTACATGTACATGTACATGTATAATATTATGTCACTAGCATAGTCCTTTCTGCCCTGGATTTTTGGCAACATTAAACGTAAACTGGTAGAAGTCCTTGAATTGTTGTGAGTCCTGTATCTCTCAATCAATGGTCTCACACCTTTTACAGAGTTTATCAATGGAATCACACCTAAAAGAGGGAGAGAGGGGAGAGAGAGGGAGAGAGACAGAGACAATGAGAATGGATTATACATTCATTTGTAGAAAGAATGTGAATCAGAGCAACATAGAATAATGTATAACCAATAGTCAAGGATAATAGTCACCATGCACTCCACTCTTGACAGTTTCCCCTTTAGACCACAATCCACTGAATCAATCTGTGAGTCAATAAGAGTTAAGAGAATATATGTACAGTATATACCAGTGAATTGGTAAACCTCTACATGTACAATATAGTCATACATGTACATACAATTGAGCCAATAAATTTTACACTTGCACACTGTACATGCATGTAGCAATATTCACATGTAAATGAAATAAACATAAATGTACATGTACTCCATGCTGATACTATACATGTACATGTATACTGTATACTGTTTGTTATCACCCGTAGAATATTAAAACTTATTGATTCATTTAGGTTTTGGTATACCAAATTTTAAGAATGCATTGATTATATTAAAGGGTATCTTTACCGAAATTCAACATGTTAATTTTTTGGTTTTAATATGATTACCTTACCATAATACTAATGTGTTCCAAATCCCACTGTCTAAAAATAATTATTTACTGAGATATGAGCCCTTCAAGTCATGAA